CCGCTTTATTGTCTTCATGCATGACAAAAGGTAAAGCAGGTTTTTTCCAAACATCAGAAATTAAATCATTAAACCATACAAGGTTATTTGCAGCTTTAGATAAACAAACATATTCTGCTTCTGTCGTTGAAGTGGCCACTAATTCTTGTTTACCAGTGTACCAGTAAACTGGACAATCATTTAGGAGGAACACATAACCGGATGTACTTTTTCTGCATGAAGTGTCTCCAGCCCAATCCGCATCTGCGTAACATGTGAGGTTTGGTTCTTTAACATTATTAGGTTCTAACATCAAACAAAAATCTAAGGTATTTTTTAAATATCTTAATATCCTCTTAACAGCTTCCCAATGGTACATTGTTGGTTTGCTGACATGTCTGGATAATAAATTGAGGGGTAAAGCGATATCAGGTCTTGTCCAATTAGAAATGTAAAGAAGTGAACCTATGACTGATCTATAGAACGTGTTATCTTTGAATTCAGGGGATGATTCATCAGCATTTCTTAGGAAGTCCGTCTGCATGGGAGTGTCACAGGGTTTGGCATCACTTAGATTGCATTTATTTAAGAGCTCTATGATCTTATCTCTCTGATTAAGTTTGAATCCTCTTTTAGTCTTATTAATTTGAACACCAAGATACTTATTTACTTTACCTAAAGATTTCAATGAGAAATGTTCATTTAGCTTAGTTACAAATGTTTCTCTTCTTTATGTTTACCTATATACAAAATGTCATCCACATAGATCAATACAAATTCTATGTAATCATCACCTTTTTTAACAAACAGTTATCAGCAGTAGTAGCATTGAAATCCATAGTTTTAAGTACTTTTACTAAACAATCATATCATCGTTTACCAGATTGTTTTAACCCGTATAAACTTTTGTTTAACAACCAAGTCTCATTCTTGTTTGTGTATTGACTGAGGTGCTCTTACATATATTTCCTTATCTAGTTTTGCGTGTAGATACGCAGTCTGTATGTCATATTGGAATACATCGAGATTGAGTGCTGATGCTACTACTAGAGCTGTTTTGACACTCTCAGTTCTTACTGTGGGGGAATATGTGTCAGTATAGTCCTCCGGATATTTCTGTGCATAACCTTGTGCGACTAGTCTAGCTTTGTATAGAGTATTGCCTCCCTCTAAATTTTTAATTTTGTATATCCACCTAGTACCAATAATGGTTTTGTCTTTTGGTGCAATTGCAGGTGTAAATACGTTTAATCCTTGTAAACTTTCCATCTCTTTTTTCATTGCTAATTCCCATTTTTCTTTTTCTTTACGAGGAAGTTTTAACACTTCCTCATATGTATTAGGTGTCGTTGATTCTTCATCCATATGCATTATGTAATCCTTGTATTTATTTGGCATTTGATTTCTAGTGTTCCTAATTGGCTTCTCGGGTTTACTATTATTGTCATGCAAATATCTTGCTTCCTTTTTTGTTAATGTATCTGTCTTTATTTTGTGTTGACTGTTTGTCCATGTTTTGCTTTTGTTTTTATATTTGTTGTCATTTTGTTTTTCTATAGTTCTTTTCTCTTGGGATTTTGTATCTGTGTTACTGTTTGGGAATATTTCATTAAGATGTATTCTAGACCAGTTGGCCTGTTCGTGAAACACAGCTGTTCTGGAAACTATAAATCTGTTATTATTATCAATGAATCTGTATCCTTTCGTACCTGTCTCATATCCCATAAATCTAAGTCTTCTAGACACATTTTCTCCCTTTCTCCTTAATTGTTTAGGTATGTGTACGTCTGCAGTGACTCCAAATATGTGCATGTGTGCTAATTTTGGTTTCCTATTATACATCACTTCATATGGTGTCTTATTTACAATGCTGGACCAGGTTCTATTCTGTGTGTAATTGGAATAATGTAGGGCTTCTGACCAGAATTGTTTGCTTAAGCCAGCATCTTCCAATGTGCATCTAATCATGGTTTGTAATGTTGAGTTCTTCCTCTCTGCAATTCCATTCTGAAACGCAGAAAATGGGCTAGATGTGTAATGTAACATTCCTTTGTCCTTCAGCCATTGGGAGAATTCCTTAGACATGAATTCACATCCCCTATCTGTCATGATTTGTTTTATTTTGATATTGTGTTGTGTTTCTATGCGTTTATAAAATTCTTTAAATTTCTGAAAAGTTTCATCTTTGTGTTTTAATGTATAAACAAATCCATAGCGACTATAATCATCCACTATGGTTAAGAAGTAACGCTTTCTATAAGTGATTGATGGAGTTAGTGGACCAACTAAATCCATGTGTACTAAATCAAAAATTTTGTTGGTTGACCTAGTTGATTTCCTAGGCCTGGGGCTAGTTTTTAGTTTTGTAGATTTACATACTGAGCATTCCAAATAGTTTTCACAATTTTTTATTTTAACACCTTCTGCGTGTTCAGTCATTTTTTGTACTACAGGAAAACTGGCATGTCCTAACTTCCTATGCAAAATATGAGCACACTCATCATGAATTGGCTTACCTATTTTTGGTTTTTTTTCATTATGTGCATCCTTGTGATCATGAGCTACTTTACATTCATCATTGTCACTATTGCTAATGCTTTCATCATCTGGTTCAATACAATCTTCCATATTTGAATCAATGTTGTGTAACCATTTTTCTTTTGTTATTAAATAAGGTAGGCCCCCTTTAATCATTACAGTGCCTCTATCTATTTTATTTTTCTCCAAGGTCGCTTTTCCTTTAGAAAAGACAATATTAATATCGGAATCTCTGCTTAGTTTTATGGCACTTAGTATGTTATGAGGTATTTCGGGTATTAGTAATACCCCCTCTATTTTTCCTAGGCCAGGTAAGGTTACATTCCCTCTACCTAATACTTGAACCTTTTCTTGGTTAGCTACCTTTATTACAAATTTATCTTCTACAAATGAAGATAATATATTTTTGTTATTAGTGGTGTGATTAGTTGCTCCAGAATCAATAAGCCAATTATTGTTCTCAGTTTGCTGTATGTTAGTGTTGTCTTGTTTATTTAGTCCATTCAGTGAACGAGATTTTTTATCCTTTGAATTATCTCTGCCCCCTCTATGTTCTTTGTAATTTGGTGGGCTTCTATGTCTATGAATGGAAGACTGTCTATAATTGTATTTGTTTCTGTGTTCTGACCTATGTCTTTCTTTTGAAATTCTGGGGCAATCTCTTCTATTGTGTTCCCTGGATCCACAGTTGTGGCATCTAAATGTTTCATTATATCTTTCTTGAAAAGCCACTTTTCTATATGGTTTGTGTTCTATGTGATTGTTAGAGCGATTCCTCCTTGAATTGTCTTCAGCTATTAACTTATTGGATAGACTTTCTATGGATAAGTATCCTAGATTGATTGTGTCTAAATGTGACATATAATTATCCCATGATGGGTCAAGTGAGTTGATGATAACACTTTTCATTGTTTGATCTGAAATCACTTCCCCCCTTAAATGCAGTTCAGCTCTTATTTTGTTTAAAGATATTAAGTGTTCACTTATGGAAACCCCTGGTTTTATCCTAGATGAAAAGAAATCTTTAGACATTCTTGTGGTAGTAGCTACACTGTCACTGTGGAATAAATTGAACATGCATTGAATAATTTCTGAAACAGTCAGATTTTGCTTAATGCTGTGGTACATAGCAGGAGATACACTAGAAATTAATAAGAAAAATGCTCTATGGTGTAAACAGTCTAATTTTAGAGTCCAAGGTCTTTTTGGGGGACTAGTTATAAAAAACAGTAAGTTTTCTTTCATAAAGACAACCTGAAGCTGTTGATACCATTCTTGTAAATTAATGCCATCTATCCTCAGCTTTGGGAAGTCACTGGGCAAATTTCCGACATTATTGGGTCCATTACTTACAACCTGAGGTAGTCCGTGGTCTCGTAAATGCTGGAAATTACAAAATGGCGTGGGAATGCTCGCAACGAGCCTGCACGGTCTTCTCAGCAACTCATGTCTTCCTGGATCGTCTGCGTAGTCTTGCGCATGCGCGTTGTCCATTTCGTCCCTGTAGTCGTCGTGAGAGGTTCTCGTCGTTGCGGCTCGCTCGTTCTGTTTCTCCTCAGACGAATCGGTCTCTGGCTCGATCTTGGGGGTCCTGACGATGGCGGCTGTTCTTTTTCTTCTTTTGAGAGCGTTGGTGCTTGCATCGGTCTGTGGCGTGGGGCGGTATCTGCAGGGCTCTCTGGGTTCGGGCGTAGGCTCTCTCGTAGTCAGGATGGGAGCGGGTAGATTTTGAGGCATTGGCTTGCTCGCTTGCTTTCTAGTTGACTTCTTGGTAATTTTTAGTTTCGGCCCAAATGCAGCAAAAAGCGTTTTCATTGCTGATTTTATCTGAGTATCTGTTGAATCACCTTCACTTTCCGATTCTGATTCTTCTGAGGTGTTTGACTTTTCTTTTTCGTTTTCGTTGTCTAGTAATGTTTTTCGCGCCAGAAATTTTGAATCGAGTTTTCTGATTGGCTCTGCTTCGCTCACCCTGGAGGTCTGTTGAAACCAAGATGGCTGCCATTCAAAATTTTGCGCGGGATCACCGTTTTTCTTCTTCATAGTATTTTTTTCTGTAGTCATATCACTCACTATTTTTGAATCTTTTGGTTTTTCAGTAGTGAAGTGCTTCTCTCTCGCTGCTCCGCTGTTTTTCAGCATATCTTGGAGGTTCGCGATGAGGCTTTCATCATTCTTCTGGCTCTTTAATAGTTTTAATATCTCTGACCTGAGTTCGTTGTTTTCTATTTTGATTTCCTCTCGATCATCATTTTCATTTATTATTTCTTCGTCTTCAGTGGTGTACTCTTCGGATTCTCTCGAAATCGCGTTTGTGGATTCATCGATTATTTCTTGATCCGTTTCCATTTCTTTGCTGTATGCCCTGGTGTTGGGCCTATCTCTCTTAGACATATTTAAATTTTTATTGAGTCAATTAACCATCCTCTGCTACCAGATTTTTGCAATATTTTCAGGATCAGACTCAATAAATATAGTAAGAGTTAAAGGTTTAAATATTTCTCCTTTTATTTACATTAGGCATTCTATATTCACTGAATATTCACAGATAGAAGCAAGGAATGGGTGCGTGCAGCTCCTTATATATACAATGGGTGGAGCTAGATGTGGGAGTGGTAAATTATGAATACATTAAGAAGTAAAGAATAAATTAACCCCTGATACCCCGTTCATATACTATTTACATATTAGAGAATAAGGCATTTACATGTGACAGTTCCCATTCGCATTTCTGCGTGTTTCATCAGGAAGGACTGAAGTAATTTTTTGTAGTTCTTAATTTCATGTTATTTTGGTTCCCATTGATTTCCAAAGATCTTCCTTCTTGATTGATCTTTTGCAATGTTAGCACACCAGAGTGGTTTTCATTCTCATATCCTGGAGTATGCCTAATTTGGGAGGGAGGGAAGGAGGAGGTCAGAGCCATTTATTGCCATTGGAACTTCAAATGGTTACTTAATAAATTATTGTAAATCAGGGACTGCCTGGGTTGGCCACCAGGCTGCCTAACTATGGGAACTTAATATGCGTCCACATATCCCTACCACTGCTTTCTCTTCCCTTCTTTTACACAACTCTGTGAAAGTAGTTGCCATGGCAGTGAAACAAGGATAACTGCAACATAAGTAAGCAGTGTGGCCAGGCAGCTGGGAAGGCAAACAAAATTCTGAGATGCATCACCAGATGTATCACCATCAGCAAAAAGGAGCTCCTATCCCTCTACATAGGGCTTTAGTGAGACTCCATTTGGAATACTGTGTCCAGTTCTGGAGACCTCACTTTAAAAAAGTTATTGATAAGATTGTGTGAGTCCAGAGATGGGCAACACGAGGAAAGGCAAGGAAAGATCACCACAAAATAAGGAGAAAGAGCCTATGAATTGCATTTTCTAATTCAGCATCACTATAACCCCCTTTTCCTTATGGTTTTCTTTCTCAGTTGTTACTTGTGTTACATAATGTGAAGCAGGGTGGAAAGGCAGACTGAGACAATAGTAAGCAAAGGAAGGAAAGCTGAAACAATAGTAAGGGATTCAGGACTAATTGCATTTCTGCCTGCAACTCTGCTCTAGTGGCAATACTCATCAGAGGGAGTTACTTGAAATGTACCATTTAAATTTTGGCATCCACACATCACGTTGAGGGCAAACGATAACCTTAATCTCCATTGATACTCATCTTTCTTTTAAAACCTCCTACTTAGCAAAAAAGCACCAGAATGGATTGAGGATTCCAAATCAAAATCAGAATAGAGCTGGAAGGGAACTTGGAGCTCTTCTAGTCCAACCCCCCGCCCAAGCAGGAGACCCTACACCATTTCTGACAAATGGCAGTCCAATCTCTTCTTCAAAGCCACCAGCGATGAAGCGCCCACAACTTCCGAAGGCAAGCTCTTCCATTGGTTGATTGTTCTGTCAGAAAATTTCTCCTTATTTCTGGGTAGAATCGCTCCTTGATAAGTTTCCATCCATTATTCTTTGTCTGGCCTTCAGGTGCCTTGGACCCCACCCTCTCTGTGGCAGCCCCTCAAACGTTGTAACACTGCTATCCTGTCTCCCCAGGTCCTTCTCTTCACTAACTACCCATCCCCAGTTCCAATACCGTTCTTGTTTTAGTCTTCCGGCCTTTAATCAGCTTAGCTGCTCTTCTTTGCTCTTTTTCCAAAGTTTAAACATCTTTTTTGTAATGTGATGACCCAAAGGGGATGCGGTATTCCGGGTGTGGTCTTACTAAGGCATTATGAAGTGGTAGTAATACTTCATGTGATTTTGATTCTATGCCTCTGTTTATAAAACCAAGGATTGTATTCGCTTTTTTTGGCTGCTGTCGCACAGAGGCGATTCATGCTTAATTGATCATCCATTCCGACTCCAAGGATCCTTCACAGTTACTATTTTCCAGCCAGGTTTCAGGTTATCTGTTTTTCCTGCCCAGGTGTAAAAGCTTACTTTTCTCCACATTAAATTTCATTTTGTTGGATTGTACCTTGTCTCCTTTGGATCAGAAAGGCACAATATGCATACAGATCAAAATCTATAGAGACGTGGTGGCTCAGTGGTTAGAATGCAGTACTATAGGCTAATTGCCCACAGCCAGAAGTTTGATTCTGACAGGGTCATGGTTGACTCAGCTTTCATCCTTCTGAGGTAAAATGAGGGTAAAATGAGGACCCAGATTGCTGGAGACCATATGCTGACTTTGTAAACTGCTCAAAGAGTGCTGTAAAGCATTGTGGAATGGTATATAAGTCTAAGTGGAATTACTATTGCTATACAGTTTCTTATGAGAATTAAGACGACCTTTCTGAGCAAAGCCCTCTCACCATTCCATGCATTTATACGGCTTCTCCCGTGTGTGGATCCTCTTATGGCGAATAAGACTACCTGTTTGAGCAAAGATTTTTCCACACACCAAGCATTTATACGGCTTTTCCCCTGTGTGGATACTCTTATGGGAAACAAGATGACCTCTTCGAACAAACGTCTTTCCACATTCCATGCATTTATACGGCTTCTCCCCTGTGTGGATCATTTTGTGTATTCTTAGGTAACTGCACCAAGCAAAAGTCTTTCCACACTCCATGCATTTATACGGTTTCTCTCCTGTGTGGATCCTCTCATGGCAAATAAGATGACCTCTTTCAGAAAACATCTTTCCACATTCCATGCATTTATACGGCTTCTCCCCTGTGTGGATCCTCTTATGGCGAATAAGACTACCTCTATGAGCAAAGATTTTTCCACACTCCAAGCATTTATATGGCTTCTCCCCTGTGTGGATCCTCTTATGGCTAATAAGACTACCTCTTTGAGAAAACATCTTTCCACATTCCATGCATTTATTCGGCTTCTCCCCTGTGTGGATCCTCTTATGGCGAATAAGATGACCTCTTTCAGCAAAGATTTTTCCACACTCCAAGCATTTATAAGGCTTCTCCCCTGTGTGCATCCTCTTATGGGAAATAAGATGACCTCTTTCAGAAAACATCTTTCCACATTCCATGCATTTATACGGCTTCTCCCCTGTGTGGATCCTCTTATGGCGAATAAGACTACTTTTTTGAGCATAGATTTTTCCACACTCCATGCATTTATGCGGTTTCTCCCCTGTGTGGATCCTCTTATGGGAAATAAGACTACTTCTTCGAGCAAAGGTTTTTTTGCACTCCATGCATTTAAATGGCTTTTCCCCTGCCTGGATCCTTTTTGGGGATATAAGATTACTATGTCTTCTGAACCTGTTACCAGACTCTCTGCATTTGTATACCTTCTCCCCAGTATAAATCCCTTCATGGGAAGTAAGTTGCCTGCTTGTTCTGAAACATGTTCCACATTCCAAACATTTGTAAGGCTTCTCTTTTGTGTCTATCACTTTTTGAGATGTAAGGAACTTATTTCCAAGAGAAGGCATGAATGTCCCATTGTAACGTCTGTTGTGTCTCCTTAAAGCATTTTCTGCTTTGTTTTGGGTTAAATAGTGTTCTTTTACTTGTAATTTAGCTTTGATTGGCTTCACACTTTCCCCAATATATTTTTTCTTTATTTTCTCCTGTTGGGCAAGAAAGTCTTGCATCGGACAATCAGTGGAAGATGAGCTTTCCTGATTCCAATCATTTGACTGGTTTCTATCATGGGTTTCTGGTTCCATTCGAATTCCAAACTTCTCCGTTCCATCTTTAGCATTGATCACTTGGAACAGTTTACAGGAATTTTGATTCTCCTGACCATTATTACCTTCAAAGCAAAAGAGAAATGAAAACGGTAACAAGGTTAGAGAAAAAGATCGAACCGTACAAAGTTAAGTGAATTTCCTTCTGAATTTTTCCAAATGTTTTATGTTTGCATGCTTACAGTGGTGTGATATAGACAGGATGATTTCTATATTCATGAATCCTGAAAGCTTTGAAAATATCTAGAAAACATCTCTTTCCTTACAATTATCTATATATGTGCAAATCTCAATCAAAGTCTGTTTTGAGTCATAGAATAATTGGGAAACACCCAAGGAGGAATAAGGAGAAAACTTAAGATTTATTGAGGTGGGTTAATTTCAGCAGAGGCCTGTGAGAACTGAAACCATTTTCAAAAAAGCTCCTTCTTTCCCGGTGTACCTTGGAGCAGCTACTCCACTGCCTCTGTCTGGCAGCCAGGACTCCCGTTCGGGCTGTTCCTTGATCCCAATGATGAGACTTTGGAGCGAAGTCCCTTGATTGAAGCCTCCCATTGGCTTGTAAACGCTAATCGCGCTGAGACTGGATCTGGTATAGGCTTCCGATTGCAGAGAACAGAGGCCTAAACTACTTTAGTGCGAGATCACACAAGACGAGAAGTGCAAGCTCTCACACTAATGATCTTGCAGGATCTCAGGCTGCAGTACTTTAGTCCTGTGTTCCCTACAAACTGAGGATTGCACAAGATCCAGGGCAAAACTCTTTGAAAACAAACAGGCCTCCTTGTTTCCAAAGCATTTTGCCCTGGATCTCGTGCAGCCCTTGGTGAGCAGAGAACAGAAGCCTAAAGTACTCTAGTGCGAGATTCTGTGAGATCGGTAGTGCCAGATTTCCCACTATTGAGCTTGTGTATCTCTCACTATTTTAGGGCTCTTTTTTCTGCAAATGCACCCAAGCAGGCAAAGGAACCGATGGCTCGCTACGGCCTCGTAACATAAGTCCGAGCAGAGTGGGGTGGAGGTGCAGGTACGATGATTGTTGTTGCAACGCCTCTGCTGCCATTTGTAAGCGTGAATGACGGCAGTGGTGTTGTAACATTCGTTATTTCAGGACTAGGAGAGAGCTAGATCGTAGCTTCGTATGGTTGCTTAGTGAACTGTCGTAACTCGGAGATCACCTGTATCCTAGGATGCTCTGAGTCACATTTCATGAGGCCTTTGTTCTTGAATTGGATTGGGAGAGTGCTCTTCCATGGCCCGAGCATGAAAGTTCTGTTCCCACACAATTTGGGGAGGTTTCAGAGAACAAATGACAAACACATTCTTCTCACATGATCACCCGAGGACACATAAAAGCACACCTCATTCTTCTCAGCCTCCACAGATAAGTTCAAATAGAAATGGAAAAATACAGATAAGGAATGCCCCAAAAGGACCTCAGCAAAGAGACACTGACTCTTTCCTTCCTTGGGGTACGAGAAGGCCAGATACTTTCCTTCTCCCTCCCGGGAGACGATATCTGATTAGTGATTTCTTAATAAAAAGTAACAATAATCTGTCTTCTTGAACTGTCCGATTTGGGAGAAGAAAACTCTTACCGAGAGAGACCACGTTCCTATAGTTTTCAAGCATGACTTCCAAATGCAGCGCTCTCTGGTCAGGATCCAGCTGAGACCATTCCTCCTCAGAGAAATACACAGCCACCTCCTCGAAGGACACAAGACTCTCCTGAACACGGAAAAAAGAACAGAACAGGAGGATTCGCAAGATCTGTTCATCATCATCAATGATTTAGACAAGCTGATAGAAGGGGAACTCATCAAATTTGCAGACAAGACCAAATTGACAGGAATACCAACACTGCACAAAATAGGCTCGAGATATAGGATTGACAGATTGGCACTTCTAACAAAATGAACTTCAATGGTGAGAAATGTAATGTGCTACATTTAGGAAAGAAAAACCAAATGCACTGCCATAGAATAGGTGATGCCTGGCTCAAAAGTAGTAAGTGGAAGAGGGATCTTGGAGTCCTAGTGGACAATCACTTAAATGTGAGCCAGCAGTGTCCTACAGTTGCACAAAACACCCAACAGAATCATAGGTTACATTAAGAAAGAGGTAGAATCAAGATCACATGAAGTGTTAGTTCCACTTTAGAATGCCTTGGTAAAACCACATTTAGGAACTTTGCATCCAGTATTAGTTGCCATGATGTAACAAAGATCTTGGGACTCTAGAAAGAGTGCAAGGAAGACCAACTGAGACGATGAGAGGACTGGAGGCTAAAACATATGATGAACGGGTCCAGGAACTGGGCATGGCTAGTCTAGTGAAGAGAAGGACCAGGGGAGACAGGGTAGCAGTGCTCCAATATTTGAGGGGCAGAGAGGAGGTGGTCAAGTTATTTTCCAAAGCACCTGAAGGCCAGACAAGGAATAATGGATGGAAACTGAACAAGGAGAAATTCAACCTGAAAATAAGGAGACGTTTTCTTACAGTGAAAGCAATGAACCAATGGAACAGAACTTTCATGGGAGCTTCATCACTGGGAGTTTTCAAGAGACTACACTGCCAAAATGTCAGAAATGGTGTAGTGATGTTGGACTATATGACCTACAAAGTCCCTTCCAACTCTGTTAATCTGTATCTTAGGAGGTTGATAAATTACAAAAAGAAAGGTGGTGCAGCAGTTCCTGCCACTGTGATACATTTATTCTTCAAGGACTTTAAAAGAACTGCTTCTTTTTTTTCTTCTTCTTTTTTTTTTGTAAATAATTTTTATTTTTTCCCAAACATAAAGATAAAATATAACTTTCAAGAACAGTTTCAATCCGGTCATAGATGGTTAACATGCTTACATTCTTTTAACATGCTCTATTCCAATTTTCCATTACATCTTTTGAAAATTTAAAACAGAGAAAAAAAACAAAAAACAAATTTAAGCATAGAATTCTAACACTTTCATCTAAACAAATCTAATATATCAATACAGTTTTAACTTCGAATTAAATTTTAGCTCATTATCTCTGTATCTATATCTCATCAATATCCAAATAGTTATTAACAATATTCTAGTCTCTTATTCTAATTGTTAAAATTTATAAAACGCAATTTTATCGACATCTTAATTATTTGACCCTTTTTATCAAATCAAAATATCTTGAACTTTCCAATTTAATATCTCACATATTACAGTTTTATCACAAGAACATATTGCTTATTCTTCTCCAAGTTATCAACTCTTTTGAGATTATTCCCAATATTATCTCCTCCCAATCTTCCAACATTATTGGCTGATTTCCAGCATATTGTATTTGACTAGTTTCTAGCATAAGCTTCTCCCAGACTCCCTCCATTGTTTGGCTGATTTCCAGCATATTTTTCTCCAACTCTCCTCCTATTGCTTGGCTGATTTCCAGCATTTTATTGGCTGATTTCCAGCATTTTCTGTTTGGTTGATTTCCAGCATAGTCTCCTCCAACTCTCCTGCCATTGTCTGGCTGATTTCCAGCATTTTAATTATTTTCCCACTTACTTCCTCGGAGTCTCTAACTCTTATCTAATTAGTATCCTTCACCTCATTATTTTAGTTTTCCCTTACATCATAATTATCTATTTAATCTCTATGTCTCAGCATATTCATCAAAATTAATTCTCATTATGTTTCATAATAATCATCATTTCCCATATTTGTTAAATTAGATCACAATTTATCTCTATCATCTGTGTATTTCATAGTTTCACTCAGTAATATGTTAATAAATCATATTCAACAGTCTAACTTTGTTTGCAGAATATAGTTAAGACATATTACAACAAATAATAAGTTTTCTTAAAGTTATCTCACATTAGAGTACACTTCTCATAGTAATTTTTAACCACTTAGTATATAAATCCCTATTTTAATTGCCATTTATTATTTTTTTTCTTTATTATTCCAAAAACCTTCCTGTTTAATCCAAAAGAAAAAAAACACCTTTTATTCCTTTAGGCTTTTAAGCATTACATTACAATTTAGTTACATTTAGTTTAAATCTATTTTGTTTCTTCTTTTTCCTGTCTGTCCACATGTTCCACTTCAAAGTTCATCTATTCAAATTAAAAATTCTATATATCACTTTAATGCTCTTATAAATGTCTGCTCCAAGCATGATGTCTCCACTTCCTGTCTTTGTTCGTGCGCCACACCTTCTTTTTGCTAAGTCTGTAAGTTTCCATTATAGAAAAGGTCCAAGATCTTTCTTCTTAAAATCACCCAGAACAGGGTAGAAATTTCCAAAATCCATTAGTCTAATGTTAATTCCAAAGTAATCATAATAATCCAAGGTAGAAAGCCATTTAGGATATTTCTTTTCTAAGCAGAAAGTAAAATCTCTTCAATCCACTTTCCTGCTTAGTCACCGCAGACTTCATGGCAATTTTGTAGCCATTCGTCTGTCAATCTTCATTAACTTCGTTAACTTTCACAGGTTTAAATTCCCCAAAAAATATTTCTTCAATCCACTCCAAAGAAAACAGAAAAAAAAGTCCAATTTTCCAAATTATTAGAAACAAATTCTTCTAAGCCAAATTAATTAATGCAAAGTTTGTCTTGGGTCTCCATTTTTTCTCCCCCTTTCTTTTAAGTCTTCAAGCCCCACGGATCTGTAGCCATAGTTTAAGGTTGGGGTCTTATTTTAAAAAAATATTCCAAGAAATCCCTTTATTTGCCTGGGTTGGTATCATTCACCCAGCTTTGAAACGCTCGTTCTTTCTTCTTCCTCCTGCACAATCTTGTGTCCCAGTCTGCTGCAGCTTTGTGGCAGCCGCCATGGCTGCCTACCCCCGCCACCGACTTTGAGGATTCCCTCTGGCCTCCGAGGAACTTGCCTGTTCCTCTTGGCCCTCCGAGGTGCTCCTCTTCACCCCCCATCCCTACAAGATGGGGGTCGGTCCGAAGACCGGTCAGACAGCGGTTTGTCAATCGGGGTTTCCACGGGCTCATTAGAGCCCGCTAATTCCCCGACTGTGGTGCCGCAGCTCCAGACCGGGAGGCCAGAACTGCTTCTTGTAAAGGCAAATTTGGAGGAGCACCTGGCAGAACAAGACAACCAGAGGAAGCTATGCTGGCTGACAGCAACCTCAACCTGCTATTGTGCTCTCCATGTTGTGGAAGGACACAAAAATAACCCAGTGCAAACAAGTGGGGGAATAGGAGGAGAGAGAACTCTGTACACCCACTTCACTTCCTGAAGGCGAGAATACAAGTCTAATAACTTTTCCTTTTCTTACTTGATTTAGAAGTTCAGCCTCTGTTTGATCGCCGTCATAAAAACCAGAAAATTTCATTCTTTGTTTCTCTGTAAGGAATAAATAATTTCAAAATAAATAATTAACAAAATATTTATTTTTTTAGACAATTTATATGCTGCCTATTCGCACATGACAACTCAAGGTGGCTTACAAAATATTAAACTCATATTAAAATAAAACTAATAAAAGGAGAATTATATAATACATTAAAATAATAAAATCACCCCCACCCCTTGCCCCGGCAAAAGCACCTCACTGGAGCCATTTAATGGGCTCCATCCCACTCCGGGTTTCCCAGGTCCCCTGGCAGAACCAGGTCTTCAATGCCTTCTGGAACTGTGCTACTGTGAGGGGCCATTCTAATCTCGGGGGGGATGATGTTCCAGAGAGGGAGCCTCAGAGAAAACCCTTCTTCTGGGTCTCACCAGGTGTGTCTTCTTAGGGGATGGCACCTGCAACATTCCCTGCCTCCGCACTCTGGTGGGTCAGTCAGATGTAACTAGTAAGAGACAGTCCCTCAGATAACCTGGTCCCAAGCCATGGAGGGCTTTATAGGTGACAACCAGCACCTTGAATTGCACCAGGAAGGAAATTGGCAGCCAATGCAGCTCCTGCAGGAGAGGTGACACTTGTGCATACCAGGGTCTGCAGAAAACCATGCGGGCCGCTGCATTTTGCACCAACTGGAGCTTCCATATGCTCGTCAAGGACAACCCTATGTAGAGTGTCAGAGGCAATTAGCCCCGTTACCTTCCTTGGGTAATTGCCTGGATTGTGGCATTTTCCTTGTGTATACTTTTGAAAAATAAAACCAGAATACATCTTCTAATTAAACTCATATTTATTGTAAAGAAGAAAATAAAACATCTTACTGACCTAAATAATTAAATTGTTACATTTTGGTAAAGTTCCTACCGACTACATATCTGCAGCCGGACTTCCCTTGGCAAGAGCACAAAGAAAAGTGTGAAGTAGAAAGAAAGGAATGTGGATATACATAGTTAGCTTACTGATAACAAAATTGGAAAGCTACGGAAAGTCTGACAGTTATCTACGGGACCGCCTGCTACCACCAATAGCCTCCCACCGACCAGTACGCTCCCATAGAGAGGGGCTCCTCCGGGTGCCGTCGGCCAAACAATGTCGACTGGCGGCCCCCAGGGGGAGAGCCTTCTCTGTGGGGGCACCTACTATCTGGAACGAGCTCCCCCCCGAGATACGGAGGATTCCGGATCTGCGTACCTTCTGTCGCACGCTGAAGACGTTCCTATTCCAGCAAGCCGGCCTGACCTAAACTTCTCCTCTTTTAAATGGGAATTTTAAATTTGGTTTTAAATTATTGGGGTTTTAAATATGGTTCAGCCAAATTTATCTAACTTGTTTTATTTCTATTTTAAATTTTGTATTGATATGTTTTATTTCATGGCTGTTCACCGCCCTGAGTCCTTCGGGAGTAGGGCGGTATACAAATCTAATAAAAAATAAAAAAAAAAATAAAGTCCAGAAATAATGAGCTCTGCTGGTAAATACAAAAACGCAGTGACATAGAGCGTGTTGCAATAGTCAAGACGGGAAGCGATTAGGGCATCAGTGTTGTCGATTCAGGAAGGGCTGTTTCTGGCGTACAACCCATAGTTGCGCAAAGGTCCTCCACACAACCGCCACCTGCTTTTCGAGCAGGGGTTGTTAGTCCAGGAGAACCCACAGATTACGCACAGGGTGTGTTTGGGGTAGTGTCACCTCATCCAAGTGGTAATTCTCCCCTGGCCAACGAACCCCAAACCCAGAGCCACTCCATCTTGCCAGGCTTTAGTTTCAACCCATTGCTCCCCATCAGCTCCTAACAGCCTCCAGGCACTGCGATAGGGAGGACACGGCATTGCTTAACCCACCACGGGCCAAGACATACAGCTCAGTATCATCATCATATTGGTGATATCTCAGTCCATGCTAGATGATCTCACAAAACGGTTTCATATAAATGTTGAACAGGAGCAGAGAGTACCGAGCCCTGAAGAACCCCGCAAAGCAGTGCATGAGGGCTGGATCTATCCCCTCCTATCAACACTGACTGAGAACGGCTACAGAGGAAGGAAGTGAGGCAGGATAGCACAAGGCCTCCCACTCCCATCCTGCGAAGCCGTCCCAGGAGAATACCATGGTCGATGGTATCGAAAGCCACCGAGAGGTCAAGTAGAGCAAGGATGGATGCGCCACTCACATCCCGCTCTTGCCAGAGATCATACAAAAATGTGGCCAATGACGATTCTGTCCCAAATCCAGGCCTGAATCTTGACTGGCAGGGTTCCTACCTGTCAATGACTCCTTCAGCTTCAACCACTACAATACACGAGCACACAATAGATACAAAGTTATGGTAAACTGTGCTAAACTTGATTGCAGAAAATATGACTTCAGTAACAGAGTCACTAATGCCTGAAATGCACTACCGGACTCTGTGGTTTCTTTCCCTAACCCCCAAATGTTAACCTTAGACCATCGACTGTCGACCTCACCCCATTCCTAAGAGGTCTCTAAGGCAAGTGCATAAGCGCACCAGCTCCCCAAAAAGGGAATACTGGAGACAGGTTTTAAATTATATATATACACATACACATACATGCAAGTTTTGGTGCACCAGCCTGAAGATGACGAGTGGGACCTCGTCGAAACGTCACCAAGATATGCTCAAACAACCTCTGGAACTGCTGCATAACCATCTTCTCACCCACCTTCCCCAAAAAGGGAAGATTGGAGACAAGTTGGAAATTATTCAACAGAGTGGAATCCAGGGATGGCTTCTTAAGAAGAGAGTGGACCACAGACTCCTTCAAATGCTGGGGCACTGCCCCCTCCTGTAGGGAAGCATTAATGACTGCCAGCGTCCACCCACCTGTCACCTCCCGGGAAGCTTTCCCAAGCCAGGCAGGGCTGGGTCTAAAACACAGGTGCTTGCACCCACCTATACGCTCTAGGATCCTGTCCACTTCCTCAGGAGCAACAGGGTCAAACCGTTCCCAGATATCAGACCAAGAACCTGTCCCAGAGGTTTCCACCGGACCAGAAACCACGCCGGCATCCAACTGGGAACAAAGTAGAGTGATTTTGTCTTCCAGAAAAACCACAAATACCTCAGCATGCCCCTTCAGGTGGACCACAATCTCCTCCTTCCCCAGGAGGAGGAGGCTCACCTGAAGAGGGTCGCTGGGCAATTATCTGTAGATGCAATTAGTGTGGAGAAGTATAAATAGGAGGAGGTATTGTATAGAAAAGAAGAGACAGCGAAGGTAAGACAGAGGGGTAATCGGAGGATCTTCAGTTACCTCCTAAGGTGTCCTGACTTTGATCCTTCCAAAAAATCCTCCTGAAAAATAGCTCCTGGGGAGGATTTGATGGGTTCTTCTTTCCCTCAGGATCTCTGATCTCCACAGTGCAGCACTTCCAATAGGAGGAAGGAAGAAACAGAATTAATGTACATCACACGACGTAAAATGGATTTCTATATTCAGAACACAACCTCAAAGCCCCCAATATCCATCAATGTGGTTATGTCAGAAATGTGAGAAAAAAATGGGACAATGTCTTACTAGAATAGGTGGGACATTGCCACATATTATGAATGTCAGAGAGGTTTGGGAAGGAGGGGTGAAGTATTCAAACAGATTCTCTATTCTCTATTGAACTCTTACCTGCAACTCGACTTGCTCCTTCTGTTCCTCCACCTGGCTCAGGAGGAAGCCTTCCACCAGGGCCACCGCCTGGGAGCTGGTCTCTGCTCCACACTCCCGCACCCAGCTCTCCATCGCTGGGGGCAGAAGAGCCAGGAACTGCTCCAGAACCACCAGGTCCAGCATCTGGGCTTTGGTGTGCTTTTCTGGTTTCAGCCATCGCCTGCAAAAGCCATGGAGTCGGCTGCAAAGTCCTCGGGGACCCTCAGCCTCCCAGTATTGGATGGAGGTCCAGGGATGAACTTCTGAAGGGAGGATGGTTTCCTCCTCCAGGATCTTCTGCCTGGTTCTTGTCCAGAGCTTCCCCCCCTTCCCAGGCTGAGCAGCTGAAGGGCCTTTTCCGCTTCCCTCCTTTCCAAAAGGTTGTGTCTCCATCCTTTCTCTGTCCTGCAGAGCAACTGAAAATGGCTCCAAGGGCTCTGGTGGGTCTCCAGATGCCTTTTCCTTCACGGGACCATTTCTGGGGCTGCAGGACTGATCCCTGCAAGGGATTCCGCTCTTTTTCTTCTTCCCCCAAGAGGAAAGTTTGCCTTGCAAAGACCACAAATGGCTTCCAGTTTCTGTATCTGAGATGGGAAGAAAAAATAAATATTAAGAATTAGAAAGTGGAATTCAGCCACTGAGCGACCTTCCCCCAACCTCCCCGGAGCCCCAAGAGGCTCATCCCAGCGCAGGACTGAGGTGCCCCCGAGCAGGGCCGGGAAGGAGGCAGCTGGAGAGGCCGCCCCGCTTCTCTCCCCTCCGGAGACAGGGAGCCTGGTGCGAATCCTGCCTCCTCCTCGCCCGGCTTCTCTCCTCTCCTGCTGGGCCTCCGCAAGGCCGACCCTCCCCTCCCCCCACTCGGCTCTTCCTCAGACAGGGGGCGGGAAGGGAGCCCCGGATCCCCCTGTATGGAGAGGGTGGCTGGGAAGCATGGGACCCGGGGTGGAAGCCGGAGGAAGGCTGGGCGCGGGTCTCTCCCTCCTCCGCCTCCCTTTGCTCGGGAAGATCCCCCAACTCACCCAGGGAACGTCTGGATCTCCCCCCGCCAGACTCTCCCGCAGCCTCTCCGCCTCCTGTGGAGCCCCAGGGGTTAAGGAGAGCGAGTGCGGCATCCTAGAGCGGCAAGCATTTGTGATGTCATTTCCTTCCCAGCCTCCTATGGAAAGGCAGCTGTGACGTTCGCCCTCCACTGGACCAATGGGGAAGGGCATGATGTTACCTTCTCTTAGCAGAGGGCTCCACCTGGTGGATTAGGGGCGAAGTGCCAGGATTGTAGAAAGGGCGGGAAAGAGGACCGCGTCTGAGGGGAAGGGAGAGGGCAGGGATGATGGGCTTGGGAATTGGAGAAAGGCCCCTGTCAATTCCTTTCTCCATCTTCCTTTCCTTCCTGTCCAGGAACCCTCTGTTTAGATGGAGAAAAATCTCTCTGGAGGATTTAAAATCGCTTCCCTCAAGAACAGCTGCCCTGAAGGCTCCGCAGAGATTGTGGGAGGCCTTCAAAGGGTCCAAATCCTGTCAGAAACAGCCGGGCGGTCAGAAGAGGAGGACCAGGAGCCTCTGTGGGAAACACAGCTTGTGTCTTGCGGTTGTTGGGAACTCCCGCCTGAACAGGAGGCAGATGGGACACAGGCAGGAAAGCCAGAATCAGGGAAATGATTTTAATTTATTTCTTTTTTATTTCTTTAATTCAATACATGCTCTTGTGGCTCAGGATACTAAAGCAGTGTTGTTAACCGTTATTATCATCAGCTGCCTGCAATTACTGCAAGTTCAAATCCCACCACGCTAAAGATTGGCTCAGACTTCCATTGTTCCGAGGACCCGGATTGTGGGGGCAATAAGCTGACTTTGTATAAAAATATACAAAAGTATGAAGGCTGTTGCTTAATGCATTGTAAGCCGCCCTGAGTCTCCGGAGAAGGGCGGTATATAAATTAAATTAAAAATAAATAAATAAAAATAATAATAAAAAAAAGCTGCAAATTTTCCCCTTTCGCCAGGTCTGTCCCCATCTGTTGCTTAAGTTTATTATAGTTACTCCTTGGAGAATTGAATGCAGGCATATATCATTAGACCATAAATGAAAAGAGAAAAAGAAAAAGAAAAGCAAATGCAAAACAAGATGTTACGACATACCATAAAAAAAAAATGGCCCTAATGCTTGAAAAATATCTTTTGCTCACGCATGTTTCAGCTTCTCTTCATTCTGGCCTCTTGCTTGAAAGGCAAATGGTTCACCCTAAAGCTTTCTGCATGCAGTCTACATTGACATCTGTCATTATTCCATCACATCCTAAGAGGTTTTGACCGAAAAAGGTTCCTTGCTTCTGCATTCATCCTGGTTGACACAGTGATTAATTTGACACAGTGGATGGAGGTTGGATTGAGGGGTCCTTGGTGCCCTCTGAGGTTGGTTGGTGCAGTGATGATCTTCCCTCGTTTGGCTAATGAAAGGTTTGCAACAACACAATCAAGCTCAGAGACCACCAAGGACCCCTCATTTCAACCGTGAGCTACACATTTTCTCCTTTGTTGGCAGGCTGGATTATTTTTGGTATCTGGACATCCCAGAGAAAGTTCCCATTCACATTTCTGCGTTTTTCATCAGGAAGGACTGAAGTAGTTTTTTGAAGTAGTTCTTAATTTCATCTTATTTTGGTCCCCATTGATTTCCAAAGATCTTCCTTCTTGATTGATCCTTTGCAATGTTAGCACACCAGAGTGGTTTTCATTCTCATATCCTGGAGTAGGCCTAATTTGGGAGGGTGGGAGGAGGTCAGAGCCATCATTTATTGCCATTGGAACTTCAAACGGTTACTTAATGAATTATTGTAAATCAGGGACTGCCTGGGTTGGCCAGCAGGCTGCCGACCTATGGGAACTTAATATGCATCCACATATCCCTACCACTGCTTTCTCTTCCCTTCTTTTACACAACTCTGTGAAAGTAGTTGCCATGGCACTGAAACAAGGATAACTGCAACATAAGTAAGCAGTGTGGCCAGGCAGCTGGGAAGGCAACCAAAATTCTGAGATGCATCACCAGATGTATCACCCTCAGCAAAAAGGAGCTCCTATCCCTCTACGTAGGGCTTTAGTGAGACTCCATTTGGAATACTGTGTCCAGTTCTGGAGACTTCACTTTAAAAAAGGTATTGATAAGATTCTGTGAGTCCAGAGATGGGCAACACGAGGGAAGGCAAGGAAAGATCAGAACAAAACAAGGTGGATAAAAATCAATGATTTTTTTAAAAAAATCAAAAAAATCAGTTTTTTTTATTTAAATCGGATTTTTTTGATTTAAATCGGATTTTTTTAAATAAAATGGTTTTTGAGGAAAATATATTACCATCCAAAGTTTATTCCATCATGAAATAAAGATTAGTTTTTTAATTATGTAGAATAAGGCTGTATATGTTTAATTTTTTTGGTAAATAAATTCCATTAATCCATTCACAATGTCATGCTTTTCCAGAGGTTTTTGTAAGATTATTGGGCAGTTTCTCTGCCTACAAGATATTATCACAGATGCTTGGTTTACTTTTGCAGTTCTCAAAGTTCTGAATTTGACTCAGCAGAGATCACATGCCTCTTCTTAACATGAACAGAGTTGAGAAAAAGACCTTAATCCTATTGTTCTACAAACCTATGAAAACAGAATCAGTGCTAAGTTTCAAGAAGTTCAGTGAATAGAATAGAAACAATATTTTTCTGATTGTTTGGAGTGGAATAGATCTGCACAAGAAGAAAGTGAAACTAAGTGTGAGGAGGAAGGGGCAAGCAGACAAGCAGTACAAAATGAAAGTGAAACTTTCTGAGCACAATACTGCACAGCCACAGACAGACAAGTCTTTGGATCTTTTTGTGGGTATGACCTGAGGTTTATCACATTCTTTCCTTGGAGGAAAAAACCTATAATGGCAGCAGGCCATAAAAGAGACCCAGTTTGGCAATATTTTAATGAAGTTCCTTTACCTATCGGTAAGGCAGGCATGCGTGCAAACTGCAAACACTGCAACAAAGAAATGCAAGGCCTGGTGGCCCGAATGAGGCAACATCATGAGAAGTGCTGTAATGAAGATGACCAAAGAAACACATTTGAACAGGCAGGATCTTCAGGTTGGTAAACATTTTTATTGAATCATATTTCTAAAGACTGCCTTGAACTGTCATGTTTGAGCAAAATTATTTGCTCTTATTATTACTGCATGTTACTGTCATTTGGTACAGTTATGAAGAAAAGCAAATATTCCTTTTGGGGCAGTGCTGTGTACAATATGCAGAAATTGTATAAACAATAAAATAACAGCATTGACTTTTTTGTTTAGGGGAATTCATGGAATCTGGAAACTATCCACCTTCAAGATCATCCTCCTGTTCTACAGTTTCAGAGTTATCCATCCAGGATAGTGCTTCATTAGCATCATCAACATCAGACACCCACAGCCACATATCACTATCACCTAAAAGAAAGAAAAAACCCTTCCCTCCTGGAACCACCATAGATAAGTTTGTGATAAAAACTAGATTAGAAAAAGAGTTAATTGATGAAAAAATTGCCCAGTTTGTTTATACAACGAACTCTTCTTTCCGTCTGACTGAGAACCCAAATTTCATTAATATGGTTCAGTCACTGAGACCAGGATACAGTCCACCCAGCAGAGCAGATGTTGCAGGGAAACTGCTGGATAAAGTGTATGACAGAGAAATGGAGCAATGTGCAACAGCTCTGGAGGGTAGAATTGTTAACCTAAGTATTGATGGGTGGAGTAATGTCCACAATCATCCTATTGTATGTGCTTGTATAACAACAGAAGAAGGGAAAGTCTTCCTTGCACAAATAATTGATATGTCAGGAAATGCACACACAGCAGAATACTTACAAGAAGTGGCAGTAAAAGCTATAATAACATGTGAACAAAAATTCAAATGTCTAGTACGCAGTTTGGTCACAGACAATGCTGCAAATGTATCCAAGATGAGAAGAAATTTAGAAGAGCAGGAAGGGAATACAAAGCTAATAACATATGGTTGCACTGCTCATTTGCTGCACCTCTTAGCCAAAGACTTAAGTGTTCCAGAAATAAAGACTAATGTTCTTGAAATTGCTAAATACTTCCGTAACAATCATTTTGCTGCAGCAGCTCTGAAAAGGATGGGTGGAACCAAGCTAACTCTCCCACAAGATGTTAGATGGAACTCTGTGGTGGACTGTTTTGAGCAGTATATCAAGAACTGGCCTATTCTGATGACAGTTTGTGAAGAAAATCGAGATAAAATAGATGGCACTGTCATGGCCAAAATCCTCAACATTGGGCTTAAGAGAAATGTTGAACATATGCTGAGCATCCTGAAACCCATCTCTGAAGCTTTAAACAAAATACAGAAAAATAGCTGTTTTATTGCTGATGCTGTTGAAATTTGGAAGGAACTGAGTGAACACTTAAAAACAAAACTACACATGGACAGAATTAAATTGCAAGCATTAAAAAAACAAATGGGACAAGTACTGTCTCCAGCTCATTTTTTGGCAAATATTGACAATATCCAGTATCAGGGTTAAAACTTAAGTGCTGAGGAAGAGGAGTTAGCTATGACATGGGTATCCAGCAATCATCCATCTGTAATGCCAACTATAATAAACTTCAAAGCTAAGGGGGAACCATTCAAAAATATATGTTTGCTGAAGATATTTTAAAGAAAGTCACACCAGTGAACTGGTGGAAGTCACTTAAGCACTTGGATTTAGAGACTGTTCAAGTAATGATTTCACTTTTAACAGGAGTAGCTTCTTCTGCAGGCGTTGAAAGAATATTCTCTTCCTTTGGACTCATTCATTCTAAATTGAGAAATCGTTTGGGACCTGATAAAGCAGGAAAGCTTGTTTTTCTTTTCCAGATTATGAACAAAAAAGAAGATGAAGATGACGAGTGAGCTACATAGGACAGTATTTAAGTTTTTCATGTGTAGGCTGGGCTGACAGTCTAAATTTCTTAAAATATATATATTTTGTTTAGCCAAATTAGTTAACAAACATGGATGTTTGTTTAAGCAAATAACATATGCTGTAAAGTTATTGTTTCAGTTGAATAAATCTATTTAAATTGTTATTATTAAGGTAATGATTCTTTTTCTCCTTCCTAAGTACAACAGAAAAGTTGTCCAAATAGGAATGATTAACCTATTAAACTGGGGATAAAAAAGCTAATATGAAAAGTTGTTATTCTAAAAATCTTCATCTACTTGCATATTAAAGTTATACCAGCAAGAATTAGTCTTTATGTAGAAAACTATGATTTAAATCAAGCCTTACTGACTAGTGATTTAAACGTGATTTAAATTCTGATTTAAATCAGTTTGATTTAAATCAAATCCACCCTACCACAAAATAAGGAGAAAGAGCCTATGAATTGCATTTCCTAATTCAGCATAACTATAACCCCCTTTTCCTTATGGTTTTCTTTCTCAGTTGTTACTTGTGTTACGTAATGTGAAGCAGGGTGGAAAGGCAGACTGAGACAATAGTAAGCAAAGGAAGGAAAGCTGAAACAATAGTAAGGGATTCAGGACTAATTGCATTTCTGCCTGCAACTCTGCTCTAGTGGCAATACTCATCAGAGGGAGTTACTTGAAATGTACCATTTAAATTTTGGCATCCACACATCACGTTGAGGGCAAACGATAACATTAATCTCCATTGATACTCATCTTTCTTTTAAAACCACCTACTTAGCAAAAAAGCACCAGAATGGATTGAGGATTCAAAATCAAAATCAGAATAGAGCTGGAAGGGAACTTGGAGCTCTCCTAGTCCAACCTCCCGCCCAAGCAGGAGACCCTACACCACTTCTGACAAATGGCAGTCCAATCCCTTCTTGAAAGCCACCAGCGATGAAGCGCCCACAACTTCCGAAGGCAAGAGCTTCCATTGGTTGATTGTTCTGTCAGAAAATTTCTCCTTATTTCTGGGTAGAATCGCTCCTTGATAAGTTTCCATCCATTATTCCTTGTCTGGCCTTCAGGTGCCTTGGACCCCACCCTCTCTGTGGCAGCCCCTCAAACGTTGTAACACTGCTATCCTGTCTCCCCAGGTCCTTCTCTTCACTAACTACCCATCCCCAGTTCCAATACCGTTCTTTTTTTAGTCTTCCGGCCTTTAATCAGCTTAGCTGCTCTTCTTTGCTCTTTTTCCAAAGTTTCAACATCTTTTTTGTAATGTGATGACCCAAAGGGGACATGGTATTCCGGTTGTGGTCTTACTAAGGCTTTATGAAGTGGTAGTAATACTTCATGTGATTTTGATTCTATGCCTCTGTTTATACAACCAAGGATTGTATTCGCTTTTTTTGGCTGCTGCCGCACACAGGTGATTCATGCTTAATTGATCATCCATTCTGACTCCAAGGACCCTTCACAGTTACTATTTTCCAGCCAGGTTTCAGGTAATCTGTTTTTCCTGCCCAGGTGTAAAAGCTTACTTTCCTCACATTAAATTTCATTTTGTTGGATTCCACCTTGTCTCCTTTGGATCAGAAAGGCACAATATGCATACAGATCAAAATCATAGAGACGTGGTGGCTCAGTGGTTAGAATGCAGTACTATAGGCTAATTGCCCACAGCCAGAAGTTTGATTCTGAGGGGGTCATGGTTGATTCAGCTTTCATCCTTCTGAGGTAAAATGAGGGTAAAATGAGAACCCAGATTGCTGGAGACCATATGCTGACTTTGTAAACTGCTCAAAGAGTGCTGTAAAGCATTGTGGAGTGCTATATAAGTCTAAGTGGAATTACTATTGCTATACAGTTTCTTCTGAGCGTGGATCTTTTTATGAGAATTAAGACTACCTTTCCGAGCAAAGCCCTCTCCACACTCCATGCATTTATGGGGCTTCTCCCTTATGTGGATCCTGTTATGGCGAATAAGACTACCACTTTGAGCAAACATTTTTCCACACTCCATGCATTTATACGGCTTCTCCCCTGTGTGGATCATGTTGTGGATAGTAAGTGCATTTCTATAAGCAAAGGTCTTTCCACATTCCATGCATTTATTCAGCTTCTCCCCTGTGTGGATCCTCTTATGGGAATTAAGACCACCTCTTCGACCAAACGTCTTTCCACATTCCATGCATTTATACGGCTTCTCCCCTGTGTGGATCCTTTTGTGTATTCTTAGGTAACTGCACTGAGCAAAAGTCTTTCCACACTCCATGCATTTATACGGCTTCTCCCCTGTGTGGATCCTTTTGTGTATTCTTAGGTAACTGCACTGAGCAAAAGTCTTTCCACATTCCATGCATTTATAAGGCTTCTCCCCTGTGTGCATCCTCTTATGGGAAATAAGATGACTTCTTTCACCAAACGTCTTTCCACACTCCATGCATTTATTCGGCTTCTCCCCTGTGTGGATCCTCTTATGGCGAATAAGATTACCTCTTTCAGCAAAGATTTTTCCACACTCCAAGCATTTATATGGCTTCTCCCCTGTGTGGATCCTTTTGTGTATTCTTAGGTAACTGCACTGAGCAAAAGTCTTTCCACACTCCATGCATTTATACGGCTTCTCCCCTGTGTGGATCCTCTTATGGGAAAGAAGATGACTTCTTTCACCAAACGTCTTTCCACACTCCAAGCATTTGTATGGCTTCTCCCCTGTGTGGATCATCTTATGGCGAATAAGACTACCTCTTTGAGAAAACATCTTTCCACATTCCATGCATTTATTCGGCTTCTCCCCTGTGTGGATCCTCTTATGGTGAATAAGATTACGTCTTTCAGCAAAGATTTTTCCACACTCCATGCATTTATATGGCTTCTCCCCTGTGTGGATCATCTTATGGCGAATAAGACTACCTTTTTGAGAAAACATCTTTCCACATTCCATGCATTTATGTGGCTTCTCTCCTGTGTGGATCCTCTTATGGCGAATAAGACTACCTCTTTGAGCAAAGATTTTTCCACACTCCAAGCATTTATACGGCTTCTCCCCTGTGTGGAACCTTTCACGTGCTCTTAGATCACAGCTCTGAGCAAAGGTCTTTCCACACTCCATGAATTTATATGGCTGCTCCCCTGTGTGGATCCTCTTATGGGAAATAAGACTACTTTTTCGAGCAAAGGTTTTTTTGCACTCCATGCATTTAAATGGCTTTTTCCCAGCCTGGATCCTTTTTGGGGAAATAAGATTACTACGTCTTCTGAATCTTTTACCAGACTCTCTGCATGTGTATACCTTCTCCCCAGTGTGAATCCCTTCATGGGAAGTAAGTTGCCTGCTTGTTCCAAAACATGTTCCACATTCCAAACATTTGTAAGGCTTCTCTTTTGTGTCTATCGCTTTTTGAGATGAAAGTAACTTATTTCCAAGAGAAGGAATCAATGTCCCATTGTAACTTTGTCCATTGTGTCTTCTTATAGCATCTTCTCCTTTGTTTTGGCTTAAATAGTGTTCTTTTACTTGTAATTTAGCTTTCATTGGCTTCACACTTTCCCCAATATATTTTTTCCTTATTTTCTCCTGTTGGGCAAGAAAGTCTTGCATCGGACCATCGGTGGAAGATGAGCTTTCCTGATTCCAATCATTTGACTGGTTTCTATCATGGGTTTCTGGTTCCATTCGAATTCCAAACTTCTCCGTTCCATCTTTAGCATTGATCACTTGGAACAGTTCACAGGAATTTTGATTCTTCTGCCCATTATTACCTTCAAAGCAAAAGAGAAATGAAAACGGTAACAAGGTTAGAGAAAAAGATCAAACCATACAAAGTCTAGTGAATTTCCTTCTGAATGTTTCCAAAATTCCTTTATGTTTTATGTTTACATGCTTACAGTGGTGTGATATAGACAGGATGATTTCTATGTTCATGAGTCCTGAAAGCTTTGAAAATATCTAGAAAACATCTCTTTCTTTACAATTATCTATATATGTGCAAGTCTCAATCAAAGTCTATTTTGAATCATGGAATAATCAGGGGAAACACCCAAGGAGGAATAAGGAGAAAACATAAGATTTATTGGGCTGGGTTAATTCCAGCAGAGACCTGTGAGAACTGAAACCATTTTGAAAAAAGCTCCTTCTTTCCCGGTGTACCTTGGAGCAGGTACTCCGCCGTGTCTGTCTGACTCCCGCTCGGCCCGTTCCTTGATCCCACTGATGAGACTTTGGAGCGAAGTCCCTTCCCTGAAGCCTCCCATTGGCTTGTTAATGCTCTTTGCACTGAGATTGGAAAGGTTGGGAGGCTTCAAGAATGGCTATTTTGCTGCCTCAAAGTCTCATCAGCTTCTAAGGGCTTTTTGGCCGGATCTGGTACAGGCTTCCGATTGCAGATAACAGAGGCCTAAACAACTTTAGTGTGAGAACACACAAGATGAGAAGGACAAGATCTCACACTAATGATCTTGCGGGATCTCACACTGCAGTACTTTGGTCCTGTGTTCCCTATAAACTGAGGACTGCACAAGATCCAGGGCAAAAGTCTTTGAAAACAAAGAGGCCTCCTTGTTTCCAAAGCATTTTGCTCTGGATCTCATGCAGGCCTTAGTGAGCAGAGAACAGAGGCCTAAACTACTCTAGTGCGAGATTCTGTGAGATCAGTAGTGCCGGATTTCCCACTACTGATCTTGTATATCTCTCACTACTTTAGGCCTCTTTTTTCTGCAAATGCACCCAAGCAGGCAAAGGAACCGATGGCTCGCTACGGCCTCGTAACATAAGTCCGAGCAGGGTGGGGTGGGGGTGCAGGTAGGATGATTGTTGTTGCAACGCCTCTGCTGTCATTTGTAAGTGTGAATGACAGCCATGGTGCTGTAACGTTTGTAATTTCAGGACTGAGTCTTAAGTACTTGGGAGACGGCTAGGTCGTAACTTCAAACAGTCGCTTAGTGAACTGTAGTAACTCAGGGATCAGCTGTATCCTAGGATGCTCTGAGTCACACTGCATGAGATCTTTGTTCTTGAATTGGATTGGGAGAATGCTCTTCCATGGCCTGAGCGTGAACGTTCTGTTTTCACACAATTTGGGGAGGTTTCCGAGGACAAATGACAACATATTCTTCTCACATGAACTCCAGGGGACACATAAAAGCACACCCCATTCTTCTCAGCCTCCACAGATAAGTTCAAATAGAAATGGAAAAATACAGATAAGGAATGCCCCAAAAGAGCCTTGGTAGTACAGTGGTTTAAAGCACCCTGTTATTAACACAGCTGCCTGCAATTACTGCAGGTTTGAATCTTACCAGGCTCAAGGTTGACTCAGCATTCCATCCTTTCTAAGGTAGGTTAAATGAGGACCCAGTTTGTGCGGGCAATAAGCTGACTTTCTATAAATATACAAAAGTATGAAGGCTATTGCTTAACGCATTGTCAGCCGTCCTGAGTCTCCGGAGAAGGGCGGCATATAAATCAAAAAAAATTTTTTTTTAAAAAAGCATCTCAGTAAAGAGACACTGACTATTTCCTTCCTTTGGGTACGAGAAGGCCAGATACTTTCCTTCTCCCTCCCAGGAGATGATATCTGATTAGTGATTTTTTAATAAAAACTAACTATAATCTGTCTTCTTGATCTCTCTGATTTGGGAGAAGAAAACTCTTACCGAGAGAGACCACGTTCCTATAGTTTTCAAGCATGACTTCCGAATGCAGCGCTTTTTGGTCAGAATCCAGCTGAGACCATTCCTCCTCAGAGAAATACACAGACACCTCCTCGAAGGACACAAGACTCTCCTGAACATGGAAAAAAGAACAGAACAGGTGGATTCATAAGATCTGTTCATCATCATCAATGATTTAGACAAGGGGATAGAATTGGAACTCATCAAATTTGCAGACAAGACCAAATTGACAGGAATATCAACACTGCACAAGATAGGCTCGAGATATAGAAGGATTGACAGATTGGAACCTTCTAACAAAATGAACTTCAATAGTGAGAAATGTAATGTGCTACATTTAGGAAAGAAAAACCAAATGCACTGCCATAGGATAGGTGATGCCTGGCTCTACAGTAGTAAGTGGAACAGGGATCTTGGAGTCCTAGTGGACAATCACTTAAACGTGAGCCAGCAGTGTGCTACAGTTGCCAAAAAACACCCAACAGAATCATAGGTTGCATTAAGAGAGGGATAGAATCAAGATCACATGAAGTGTTAGTTCCACTTTAGAATGCCTTGGTAAGACCACACTTAGGAACTTTGCATCCAGTATTGGTTGCCATGATGTAAAAAAGATCTTGAGATCTTGAGGAACTGGGCATGGTTAGTCTAGTGAAGAGAAGGACCGGGGAGACAAGATAGCAGTGTTCCAATATTTGAGGGGCTGCCACAGAGAGGAGGAGGGGTCAAGCTGTTTTCCAAAGCCCCTGAAGGCCAGACAAAGAGTAATGGATGGAAATTCAACAAGGAGAAATTCAACCTGGAAACTAGACTAGACTGCCACTTGTCAGAAATGGTGTAGTGACGTTGGAGTAGATGACCTACAAGGTGCCTTCCCACTCTGTTAATCTGTACCTTAGGAGGTTGATAAATTACAAAAAGAAAGGTGGTCTAGCAATTCCTGCCACTGTGATACATTTATTTTTCAAGGACTTTAAAACAACTGCTTCTTGTAAAGGCAAATTTGGAGGAGTATCTAGCAGAACAAGAGGACCAGAAGAAGCTATACTGGCTGACAGCAACTTCAACCTGCTATTCTGCTCTCCATTTTGTGGAAGGACACAAAAATAACCCAGTCCAAACAAGGGGGGGAATAGAAGGAGAGAGAACTCTGCACACCCACTTCACTTCCTGAAGGGAGAATACAAGTCTAATAATTTTTCCCTTTCTTACATGATTTAGAGGTTCAACCGCTGTTTGATCACCGTCATAGAAACCAGAAAATTTCATTCTTTGTTTCTCTGTAAGGAATAAATAATTTCAAAATAAATAATTAACAAAATATTTATTTTATTGGTTTATTTTAGA